GGGACACTGGTAAGGCTGATACTGGGCATGGAGTCGGGAGTGGTTCTTCAGAGCCATGAGGTTAGAGAACTCTTTGAAGCAGATGGCACAAGGGTAGATGCCCAAGGTGTGGCTCTGGCGGTGGTTCGTGAGGCTCCCAGCATGCTTGTATGTCTTGCCACATTGACTGCACTTGTACCGCCGTTCTTCCTCAGCAGGAGGGGACTGAGTGGGCTCCTGGCCCCCTGTGAAATTCACTACCGATTCAGCCAAATACTGTTCCAAATTGCTAAGGAGGGTGCTGGCTGGGGTGGGGAGCGGGGTGGCTCTGGTAGAATTGGTAGTGGGCCCCCAGCGCTCTGCACCCTCCTCTGAATCTGGCTGGCTTTCCCAGCCTTCTCTTTGTCGGGTGGGTGGATCTTCCCAAGTGTTCAAAGCTGCCCTGGGGTCAGGCCCAGACTCACAGCCAAAGGTCTCTTCCTCATGTTTTTTCTGGCTTGTCCAGCTTTCCCCAGGGCTGAGCCTGTGGTCCCTGGAGTCAGAGGATGCTGTCTCCCCTTGAAGATGTGGAATGACTTCCTTGGAGCGGGGAGGCCGGCGCCTACGGCGGCCCTCCGGAGCATGAGTCCTCATGTGGCTCTTGAGGGCCACAGGATTGGTAAAGTCCTTGCCACAGGTGGTACAGGGGAAAAGTCCAGTCTCGTGGGTCCGGCGGTGGTTGACCAAGCTCCCTGGGTGACGGTAGCCCCGCCCACACTGCTGACAGCGGTAGGGCCGAGGGATGCTGTCTGCCTCCTCACTGTCCTGCTTGGAAGATGGATGGAGCAGCTCGCGGTGCCGGGACAGTTCCGGAAGACTAGGAAAGTGGCGCTGACAGTCAGAGCAGCTGAGTGAGGTGGGCACGTCCTCCATGGGGCAGTGTGGCAGAAACCTGGAGGTTCAGGAAGAGCAGGCAGGTGGCAGCAGCATCTTCCTCTGGTGGAGGGGCCAAGGCCTAGGAAGAGGGGGTGGTGGTCAGAAGGAAGACCTGAATTAACTTTGCCTCTTGGCTCTATAAGCAGCAAGATCATCAGAGGTCACAGAAATGTTCCCCAAGCAGTAATGCCCAGGGACTTGCTTTCTCTTGGATTTAAGGCCTCCTGCACATAAGCTCCCCAAATATGAGAGCTCCCCTAGGCCTAACTCATCCTAGAGGTATAGATAAGAAAACTAAAGTCTAGAGGGATGCAACCTACCACAGACCTACCAACCTACCTCTGTTCATCAGACCAAATCCACAAAATCTAACCTTCTCCTCTCTATAATTCTGGAGCAACCAACCAACCTACCTCCTGTGACATATTCAAAGGAAACCTGAAACTTTTCTAGGACCTTCAATGTGAGAAGTCTAATTCTCTCTCCTTGATCCCTCAGCTAAACAGAGTAGCCTAGAGACATTGAAAAGCAGCCTTTTTCTCCAGTTGACAGCTGAGGATGTGAGAGGTGGGGGCTTAAAGCCCTCTTCAGAGAATGGGCTGGCCTGTTCCCTCACCTCCCCTATTCCTTTCAGGGTCACAAAGTCTCTTTTCTAAAAGAGTCTCTTGGCCACTTCCTTCACCTACTTCCCCTGAGTCCAAATCATCTTCTACCTTGGAAATTCCAACCCATTTCTGGTTGCTCTTCACCCCCTACCTTTTTTCTTTCCTACACCTCCTCACTATACCCTCACCATCCCTTCTTATTTTTTCTATCTTCTCTCAAAATACTTATGACAACAACGCATGCTGAGCATTACCACGTGCGGAGCACTGTGCTAAGTAAAGAACGTTCGTTTTGTCACTTAATCCTCACAACACCCTGCAGTGCCTCCTTAGTCCAGTTTACACAGAGGCAAACCCACTGACTCAAGCAATTTTCTTTCCAAAGCCCTTACTCTTTCCATAGCAGGCCCCCATGTCTCCTATATCACATTGGCCTTCGCTGACTCTTGATTCTTCACTCCCATGGGATCCCTATATGTACAACTCATATCTCCGGATCTAAAGCCCCTCCAAACCTGCTCCTCGACTTCTCAACTCACAAAGCCCCTTCGCTTGAGCCCCTTCTCCTGATCAACCACCAACCAGGTCTTCTCGCCTCACTCATCTCCTTGGCCAATTTCTTCTCAGGACCCCTACCTCACTCGGGTGGCCCCTTTTCGTTCCCGCCGCGGATGAGTCCGTTGGGGACCGCGAACGGGAGCGCGCCTGCGCACTGGGACCCTCACCCTAACTGCAGCCGCGCGCCCCAAGGGGTGGCTGTGGGGGGCTCTCGCGCTCCCACAGACGCACACTCCGCCAGGGCTCCTGGGAGGTGGGAAGGGAGGGGAAAAGGGAAAGGGGAAAACGGAGAAGGAAGGAGGTAGAGGAAAGAAGGCGCAGCTGGCTCCAGCCAGGAGTCTACCCCCAGCTCCGCGGACACTTCCTATTGTTACTAGGAAACAGGAAGTGTCCTAGCCGTAAAAGGTTCCCCCCGAAACCTCTGCCTGGAGAACACTTCCTGTGCCGCCTGCAAGCAGCAGTTGTGCACAGACACACTTCCGGGGCTAAGGGAGAGGTAGCTGAAACGCGACCCTGACTCCGCCCACGAGGGTCAAAATTCTGCGTTGCTTTGCATTAGTCTAAGCCACACTTCCGGCAAGAGCTGGGAAAATCGTTCCGGTGCATATTGGCTGAAAGCAGAAGAGGGAAAAAAAGGGTTCTGCTGTTCTGGCCTCAGTACTTTGGCGACACTTTTCGTGGGGCTCCCTGAAAACAACTTCCCAAGACAGATGGAGGGAGCTTCATTCACTCCTCGCTACTGAGGGAGATGTGGTGGAATATAAGTGGATTTCGGTGCTACAAAGCTTGCGCATGGCCCTTCTGTATTCCCGCCTTCCAGTTCTTGGTGATCTGGCCACAAGATAGCAATAATCCGGTATATGCCGTAAACCTGTCTGGCGTCCTCTGTCGTTAGCACCCACATAGACCCCTTTCAAGATGTTGCTCCGCCACTTTCACCTGCAGTGCTCGGGTAAACTTTGCCTTCCTCCCTAGCTGGGAAAGCTCCCTCCCACTTCCGCTTTCCGGCCCCGCCTCCCCCCCCCCCCCCCCCCCCCCCCCCCCGCTGGGTCCTAGCGCCTGCCCCTCCCTGGCAGTGTCCGGGCTCCGTCGGTCAGAGCAGCTGCCGCAGACGCCACGGAGCCAGCCCAAGTTCGCTGAGGTAGGAAACGTCGGCGGGAAGCCGCAGGGACGCCCCAGGCCGCCCCAGCGCAGACGCAGTCCGAGAGGCCTCAGTTTCCCTGTGGGTGCAGAGGGCGGATGGGGTTGGCCTGGCGCGAGAAGCGCGGGCGGGGCGGGAGGAGTGCGGCCCCGGGAGGGCGCAGTCGGGCTCCGGCCCAGCGGGTCCTAGAACCCGCCGGCTGTCCCCGCGGGCCGGCTGCTGTGGACTTCTGGGCTCGGCTGGCACAGCTGCCCGCCTTGCGCGGTGCGGGCCTTGGGGGTCCTAGAGCCCGCCATGTTGCGGGCTTTTGTCCCAGGCGCGCGGCCCGCCTAACAAGGTCCCCAGCGCCTGCGGCACCCCTCCCCGGCCGAGGTCCTGGCCGCCCCTCCCGCGGTCCTAGAGAACGCCATCTTGCAGGCCTTTGTCCAGCGTCCAGCCCTTGGCCCATTCATTTGTTCATTCTCTCATTCTTCGTTCGCTCCTTCTTGCCTCGTTCTCCGAGTCCCCGTTTTCCCAGCCTTCGGAGACGAGTCAGCCTAGGGTCCTGCCCTGCGGGGTTGTCTGTCTGGTGGGAGCGCCGACAGATAGACTGTTGAAAAGAGCGAGAAGCGCCGGGTTTCTGCCGCTCTCGGCCCCTTCTCACCACGTCTCCTAGGCCCTAACGCCCTTCGAACTCGGACGAACCTCAGAGACCCCATTTAACTAATGAGAAAACTGAGGCCCAGAGCACCGTGGCGCCCTTACCTCTACTGCCTTTTAAGTATTTTTGAGGGCACTGAGAAAGCAGGTATTTGAAGGATGCAAAAGAATTTTCCCATGGGAGAAGGCGAGCAAGGGCTGCTGAGGCAGAGAGAACTGCAAGTGGAGATGCATTTAGGTGAAAAAGTTTGAGAATTGAGGCTGGAGCTTAGTTCGCTGTTGGGAGGGGGACACACTGCGGCTGGAGCTGAGGCTGAAAAAGTAGGTTAGGATTAGGTTGTGAACTGACCAGTTTGGAGGCCTAGGAGATGATTAGCTTTCACTTCTGCACAGTTCTCAGTTCCCCATCCATCATCTCACCAGATCTCAATGGCTCAAAGGCCTTACTGGCATCTACTTGTTTACACATGGAGGAGACCAAACTGCAGAGAAAAGAAAAAGCAGCTCCTTTTTTTTTTTAAACCTCATCCTTGCTCACAGCGTCATAGCCTAAGCTGTCTGGGAATTAAATCCCTGCATCTCTGGCATTTTACAGCCTGGTCAGGCAGCAGGCCCGCATCCCCCTCCTAAGCCAGTAGTGAAGCAAAGAGAAACCTCCCTCACCAGAACAATGAACCCACTATGGGATAATGGGGCGATTTTTGGAACTTATGAAATTGGAAAGGCAGAGAAATTCAGTTAATAAATAGCTGCTGGCAGACATTCTCACAAACACCTACTATAGGGGAGGCAGAAGCAATAGGCCTGGGTTTGAATTCTGTCTCAGAGGTTGATTCATTCACTTTGTTTTGGGGCACCAATCACAGTTTTAGGTGTAGAGGATATAAAATAATAAAGGTTCCTGGCTCTTTGCCAGCCTAGACTCTGGTGTTGGAGACAGAAAGTTAATAATCAAGCTATAAAATGTGTAAGTGCTACCAAAGCAACAGTCAGGACAGAGAGCAGAAATTTGGGAGGCAGACCACTTGACTTTGAATACTGGCTGTAACCATGACCGGTTACTTCATTTCTGTGTGCCTCAGTATCCTTGTCTGTAAAATGGGGAAAATAATACTGTTTAACTTAATCCGTTCAGGCTAACCATGACAAAAACCCCACAAGACTGAAGGGCTTAAACAACAGAAATTTATTTCTCACAGTTCTGGAGGCTGGGAAGTCCAAGATCAAGATGCTGGCCAATTCAGTTCCTGGTGAGGACTATTTTCCTGACTTGTAGATGTCCACCTTCTTGTTATGTCCTCACATGGCTTTCTCCATACATGTGCGCATTCAGTCCATAGGAAACTTCTAGGCAGTTGTGAGGCTTAACTTGAGTAGTACACACAAAATGCATAGAATGATACCTGGCCCATGGTAACCTTGCAAGGAATGTTATCCAGATGAGCATCGTAAGGGGAACTACAGAGGAGGAGCAAGAATGCAGATAGCATTAAGAAAGGCGGTCAGGAGGAGCACCTGGGTGGCTCAGTCGGTTGAGCATCAGACTCTTGGTTTTAGCTCAGGTCATGATCTCAGAGTTTCATGAGTTCAAGCCCCAAGTTGGGCTCTGCACTGGCAGCATGGAATCTGCTTGGGATTCTGTCTCTCCTTCTCTCTCCGCCCACCTCCCCCTGCACTCACATGGTCTCTGCCTCTCTCAGAATACATAAACTTAAAAAGAAAAAGAAAGGTAGTCAGGAAAGCCTTCTTTGAGGAGGTGACAGGGAGCTGAGGCCCAAATGAAATCAAAGAGATAGCTACACAATGATCCTTGGGGAATAGTGGTTCTGGCAGAGGGGACTACTAGTACAAAGGCCCTGAGGTGGGAAGGAATTTAGCTATTTTTGGAAAAGAAAGACAGCCTGTGTGAATGGAGCCTAGTGACACCATGAAATGGAGGGGAAGGTGAGGTAGGCAGGAGTTAGATCATTCGGGGCCTTGCTAGCCATGGAAAAGATACTGGTCTTTGTCTTAGGAGCAGTGGAAAGTCCCCTGATTTGTCTCATAAACCTGAAGTAAATGAAGACTGGTAGAGAAAGAACCCAGGGGCCTGAAGACTTGGATTTGAGTCTGTGCCTCTTGACTAGTTAGGTGTGCTTGTAAAGTGTTTTTCCTTACTGGGGCCTTAACCTCCGTATGTGAAAAAGAGGCATTGTAGTGCCTCTCCTAAAAGCTTTGTGAAGACCCAAGGATGCGTCTTTGCTTCTTAAGTGTTGGTTGGCATGGCCCTGAGAGGATGTTTAAAGTACAGCTTTCTGGGGCGCCTGGGTGGCTCAGTCGGTTAAGCGGCCGACTTTGGCTCAGGTCATGATCTCGTGGTCAGTGAGTTCAAGCCCCGCATCGGGCTCTGTGCTGACCGCTCAGAGCCTGGAGCCTGTTTCAGATTCTGTGTCTCCCTCTCTCTCTGACCCTCCCCCGTTCATGCTCTGTCTCTCTCTGTCTCAAAAATAAATAAATAAACGTTAAAAAATAAATAAATAAAGTACAGCTTTCTGAGTCCATCCTCATGCTCCCTGGATGATTATTCTCATGCAGGGGACGGGGTTCACAGACCTGACTTGGAGAAACATAACTCTAGGGAGTGATGAGTGGAAGAGTCCTCAGTGAACAATGAAGTGAGGAGTTAATGGTGGGATTTAGACGGGGGCCTAGCCCACATGGCCCTCTGCTCTTTATGGAGCTGGGCACCTGTTGGGACCAGCCTACTTCCCTACCTTTTCCCCAGGAAAGTGCTTCCCTACCTTTTCCCCAGGGAAGTGCTTCAGGAGGAGAGATGTGTACCTCCAGCTCTCTGATTTCTGGTTCACAGGTGGGAACACTGAGGCCCAGAGCTCAGAACGCAGGGGTCAAGCCCTCTGAGAGAGAAACAGACATAAAGGGTGCTGGTTCTGGTCTCAAGGCAGTTCTACAGGGATGAGAGAAGATGAAGATGTGGCCTGAATTCAGGGTTCTGGTCACTGTAAGGTTGGCCCAGCAGCAGACAAGTCTGGGAGGGCCCAGACGACTGATCAAGGGCCCAGCAACTCAAGGCAAGTTAAACATCTGATTCAAGTCCCAGCTGTTGAGTCTAGCTTTGTGACCATGGGCTAGTCACTAAATCCCTTGGAACCTCAGTTCATTTGTTTGTAAAACGAGGATAAGATCTCTGTCTCAGGAAGCTGTAAGAGAACTAAATAAGGTAGCGTGCTCAGCAAAGTGTCTGGCTCTCAGAAGACTCTCAGTAATTGAGGGCATTTATTCATATCATATCACTTCCATTCAGTCTTCATCCAACCCTGTGAGGTAAGTACTATTAGCTCCATTTTTCAGATGAGAAAATTGAGGTCCTGTGGCATAAAGTAAATGTCACAAGGTCACTGCTAGGAAGTGAGCGAGGCAAGATTCAAAGCCAGGCAGTCTGGTTTCAGAGACGGGACACTTAACCACATGCTACATTGTTTCTATGGGCCTCCGTTCCCATATCTGTAAAAAAGGAATCTATATAATAGAACTTTTATTGCGAAGTTGATGTGAAGTTTGAGTTAATATATGTAAAGAGCTTAGGAAACTGCCTTTTATTTAGCAAGTGCTCAGTAAATGTGAGCTATCTTTTTTATTAAAGAGAAACTTTATCAGGCAGTCTGTCCAGAGATGGTCTGGAAAGGAGGTAGTGACTGCCTCATCCAGAGACAGGGAAGGATCCCCTGGGAACTGTAGGGGGAAATTCAAACCACGGGGAAGGTTGGTCCTCAAGCCCTTTAACTCACCTTCCAGCGCCAGCACTTAGTGGGAAAAGTGAAAAGAACCAAGCTGAGGGTGGAACAGAGTTGTGTGGGATTGGGGCCAAAAACCAGAGGGGAAATGCAGGAAGAGCTTCCTGGGGGGAGTGGGGCTCAAAGGAAGGATTGGTGGGATTTGTAACAGCCAGGAAGGACCTGAGAGTTTGCGTGGTATGATGGAAGTCATGGAAAGTTATTGAGCAGGGGACAAAGTGTCACATGATACTTTATGAAGAAGCTGTCTGTGCACATAGCAGATGATGTGTGTAGGGGTGGGGACTGAGGCAGGGCCACTAGGCAGAAGGGTGCTGACTATAAAGATGCAGCCCTGGCTGGGTCAGAACTTCCTCCCTGGGTCAGAACTTCAAAGCCACCAAACCCTGAGGTATACAGATGAGGAAACAGGCCTAGAAAGGAGCAGTAGAACTCAGGCTTCTTACCTCCCAGACTGGATTCTGCACATACCTGGCTCCCCTGCCCTGTCTATAGCAGCATCCTCCCTCCCCCTGGCCACCCCCAGCAGCTGCTGCTGAGCCCTTCCTAAGTGGATCTGCCCATAATCCTCTTCTTTTCATCCCCTAGGGAGGATGAGCTGGTGTTAAGACTAATGGAGCCATTAATCCTATTTCCTCCCAGCCTTGATCCCCAGGAGCAGCTGGATGGAGGGTGTCTGGGCTATGAATGAGAAAGAAGGGGGCTTATCCAGAGCAGGTGTCCCAGGAGGCCAGGCTAAATCAGATATATTGATTATACTGAGACACATGTAATTGCTAGCAATGGCTCAAGCCACCTTGAGAGTAACTGAGCTCCCCATTACCAGAGCTATGGGAGCAGGAGCTCAACAGCAATTCCAGAGTAGAGGGTGGACCAGGATTCCTGTCTAGGGTGGAGTACCTTACAGCTGTGCAAGGCCAGAATTCTGTGTGAACAGTTGCTGCCTCTGAAAGCTAACTAACCAGAAGGGAAAGACAAAATACATACACTGGGGACCTACTTCTTCCAGACAGACGGTGCCAATCACCAGTTAGCCCACTAGTTCTGCCTTCTTCTGAACCTACCTCTGTCTTCTCTGGGCACTTGGCAACCTTCAGGTCTGACCCACGTCTACGTAGCCTCTGTGTCTGCAGGCATGCATAGGACTCTGTGTCCTGGCACAGGCCTTAGATGCTGAGCTGGAAAAGGAAGATGGTGAGATGGACGGAACTTGGGCCTTCTGGGAATGTGCAGGGTTTGGAAAAGCCCAGAGGCTGGGGAAAGAAGTGCAGGTGCACATTTTGATAACTCCAGACTCCTCTCTTAGACCCTCAGATGTTACCTGGTCCAACTTCCTTCCTCAATGAACAGACCAGACAGGAAACTTGAGTGCAGAGTGTTAGACCCAGGGGTGTTTGGAAAGAAGGATGTGGCCATCCCCCATGGGAAATGCTGGTAAGACAGAACTCCTCTCTGAGGCCTTGTTAAGGATAGAGGCCTTAGAGAATGGCAGAAGGATGTGTCTTGTGTCTAACTTTGCTTCTTTCCTAGAGAAGCTCCGCCCTCTGAGGCCATGGAGGTGGAGTCTACGGAGGCCCGGTCATCCTCCACCCTCGGCTACAAGCGATCCGGCCGTCGCTACAAGTGCCTGTCCTGTACTAAGACATTTCCAAATGCGCCCAGGGCAGCGCGTCATGCTGCCACCCATGGTCCTGTAGACTACACAGAGGAGGTGGCGGAAACGAAGCTGAAGCCGGAGACAGAACCCAAAGCAGAGGATGCCAGTGGGGACAAGGTGTCAAGTGCATCGGCAAAGCCTCGGCCTTATGCATGCCCGCTGTGCCCCAAGGCCTATAAAACGGCACCTGAGCTGCGCAGTCACGGTCGCAGCCACACTGGTGAAAAGCCCTTCCCTTGCCCCGAGTGTGGCCGCCGCTTTATGCAGCCAGTGTGCCTGCGTGTGCACCTGGCCTCACATGCTGGCGAGCTGCCCTTCCGCTGTGCTCACTGCCCCAAGGCCTATGGCGCGCTCTCCAAGCTCAAGATTCACCAGCGTGGTCACACCGGCGAGCGGCCCTATGCTTGCTCCGATTGCGGCAAGAGCTTCGCCGACCCTTCCGTGTTCCGCAAGCACCGGCGCACCCACGCAGGCCTACGGCCCTACGGCTGCGAGCGCTGCGGCAAGGCCTACGCTGAGCTCAAGGACCTACGCAACCATGAGCGGTGAGGGTGCGGTGCTGTGGTGAGGGAGCCGGGGTTGGGAAGAACCGACCAGGGGTGGAGGAGGGAGGGATATGGCGCAACAGCGGTGGCCCTGTGACCAACCGGGCGTGGGGTTGAGGCTCAAAGAGGGAAAAGAGCCAATGGGAAGGTGAGTGGGGCTGGGCCGTGGGGAGAAGCTGGTGCCCCTGGTTGGGCAGGGGCGGGGCAGCCTGTGTTGGGAGGGAGCCCTGGAGGATTCCGTTGGGATCTGATTGGCTTGGGTCCGACTAGAAAGGGGACCCGCTGGAAGTTGGGCCACTGGGAGGGTCTCTGGTGGAGGTTAGCAGGTGGGAGTGGGGTCTGGCTCTTGGTGGGGTCTTATCTGGGATCTAGACACCTAGCCTAAAGATTCCCTACTCTGGGGTGCAGCCCTATGTACCCCCTACCCCCGGGATGTTAGGAGCCCCTAACTCACAGCAGACAGGC